CTGCCGTTTGTCGGAGGTGACACGCCAGTGATGTCCCATGGCCTTTCCCGTGCCTCACCACGGGCTTCTATTAGCAGCAGGGCGCTCGTGTTCATGTTTTGCTTTCGTGACTTGTAACTGTGTGAGAGCGTAAAGAGAGCACAAGTGAGTGAGTGAATTCTATTAACCGCCCGTTTAACAAAAGAGTTCTTGTGACACGGGCGAGCACATCCTTTAAACTTGCTCTCACAGGACCTGGCTTTTAGACCCCTGAATCCCAGCTCTTTTGGTCCTCAAGATAACAGGGGTGCGGCTTCCTAGTTTCAAAGGTGGCTTGTGTGTCATCTGGGACGTCTCTTGCCTTCTTTTGTACCGTTGCATCCTGGACTTGACACTAGAGAGCAATTTCATGGTTACATTCGCGCATCTGGTTCATGAATCACTCTGTTGGCCATCTTGGGCTGCGTCTGTTCACTCCTGGAACTCTCACACCCGTATAAAGGCAGTTAGTGAGCCAACGAAACCGCCCTTCTTCTACCGTAACACCTGATGCCCACCCGCTGAGATGTAGGGCACTTCGACAGTTTCATGATTTCTCACGAGCGCCGTTAATATGCGGGCCTTTCGGCAATCAGCCGCACCTGTTACCCTTCGGGGCGTGCAATGTGCACACCTATCAAGGCCCCACTGGAAGCTCTGCATGCATAGAAACGGGGGCGCGACGTTTTTAGACTCTGCGGCCATGCAGGTGGATGTTCTCTGACCCTTGGGTTCCCTGCTGTGGCTTAGAGGTTCAATGGCAGGGTGCGCAGCATTGCGCAGCGTTGCGGTGAGAGCTTGGCTTTGCGAGGGTGACGTGCCTAATAGACAATTCGGGAATTAGGGTCCGATCCTTATAGGGCGTGTAGCAGGTACCAAGGATTTAGTGTTTAGGGCGTAAGGTTTAGAGTTTAGGTATCAAGCTGCATCAGGTTGGTGTTAAGGGGCCTTGCTAAGTCGTTGCATTCGTCCTCTTCCAACCTTTCCTGCCACGGCATCGCTGCTGATAATGAGTTTTTGCCATGTCAACAATCCTTCGCGCTGTACGAGTTTCGCAAGGCTTGCTACAAGTACACGGCTCCAGCGCAGCAACGGTCCACGGCCAGCGTCTGTTTGTGCAGTCGTGGGCCCTTCCCACTGCATTACTGACTGCGTGTCCCGATGAAGGTGACGGAACACGATGACCACGCAGCACTGCATCAACTATAGAGCAACAACCCATCACAAGGCTTGCTGGGATGACTTGCCATCTTCTGGCTAAGCACTCGTTGCTGATGCCCGCCCGCTGAGAATATGTATATGGATGGTTTGTTACGCCCTCTGCGTTCTCCATGCTGGATTCCAAAGAGGCAGCTATAGCTGGTCTTGGAGACATTGCTGGTCAATCATATGCTAGAACACCAACCCGTCTCTAGGGAACTAAGCCCTGTGCCTTGAGAGCTCGAGTCCTCAATAGTCCTCAGGCCCTCAGGTCCTGGCGAAACCAACTAATTGTTCCGTAAAACGTGGAGGCGTACGCCTCTGATGCCGCATCATAAGAACTCCTCCTGTTCCCGCACTCGTGACAACTCCTGGTTCCGGTTCTGTGCCGCTGTCAGAAGTAGTGGTTGGCGAGCTTCGGATTTTAGCTTGTACTCAGCTACTCCATCTCCTCACGTATCACGTCGTATGCAGTACCTTTGGACTCCTCAACGCTTGCTGATGCCATGCCCTGATGCCCCGCCACGGTCCACCTTGGGTCCACCTTGGCTTTGGAGATCTTGGCCGTGCCTTCGGGCACAGCATGGTACGGGAGAACTCGCTTGAAACCCATTCAGAGAGGCTGCACATGGCCAAAATACAAGGCTTTGGATTACAATAGGCACCCCTACAGGGACCCGCCGTTGAGAGGACCATTTGCTGTTGGAGGCTGTTGGTGAAGAAGACGATGCTGTGCTCCTGCGTGGGCTTGGGATGACTTAAGGTCTACAACCTATTACTGGAGCATGCATGAATATGTAGGTTCTGTAGGTGGATAGTGGCGCTTCAATTCAAAAGGTGGCAGTGGCCCACCCTCCAAGCTGGCAACTCCTGACCTGTGATACTCACATATTGGGAGCTTGAAATATGCTGAGTTTGCCGGACATGCTCCAGAACTCCTGTCTGGGACGTTGAATGTGCAACATCACTCTTCAATCCAGGGCCCTGTTGTTGTTCGATCGAGTACGGAGAGCAACAGCCGGATGTGCTCCCTAGCGCCCAGTGTGGCCCCGCTACCAGCGGGAGTAGAGATGCCCGAAAATTTATCCTCCGCCGTGGGGTCAGGCCGCAAAGAGTTTGAAGGCGACAAGCTGTTTTCTGAGCCATGTGCGCGCGATTCGCTTGGTACCCATTCTCACTGGAACGATCTTAAAGATTTGTCTGCGGCAGCATGATCGGAACATCAGAAGATTCCGGGATTTCACCGGACCTTGCCGGGGTCGAGAGAGAGCCGCTGAATCTCGTGCTTGCCCTTCAGTTCCCGCCTACCCCTCTCTTAGCAATATCACTCGGCGTTGCTGCCGCTTTGCGCTGAGAACTCCTCGCGCATGTCTGCCCACGACCTCTTCTTCATGTCTGCAGCTCTTCGCCCATGCTGCTGCCAGGTACGGCAAGCTATCGAAATTCAAAAGGTGGCAGTGGCCCACCCTCCAAGCTGGCAACTCCTGACCTGTGATACTCACATATTGGGAGCTTGAAATATGCTGAGTTTGCCGGACATGCTCCAGAACTCCTGTCTGGGACGTTGAATGTGCAACATCACTCTTCAATCCAGGGCCCTGTTGTTGTTCGATCGAGTACGGAGAGCAACAGCCGGATGTGCTCCCTAGCGCCCAGTGTGGCCCCGCTACCAGCGGGAGTAGAGATGCCCGAAAATTTATCCTCCGCCGTGGGGTCAGGCCGCAAAGAGTTTGAAGGCGACAAGCTGTTTTCTGAGCCATGTGCGCGCGATTCGCTTGGTACCCATTCTCACTGGAACGATCTTAAAGATTTGTCTGCGGCAGCATGATCGGAACATCAGAAGATTCCGGGATTTCACCGGACCTTGCCGGGGTCGAGAGAGAGCCGCTGAATCTCGTGCTTGCCCTTCAGTTCCCGCCTACCCCTCTCTTAGCAATATCACTCGGCGTTGCTGCCGCTTTGCGCTGAGAACTCCTCGCGCATGTCTGCCCACGACCTCTTCTTCATGTCTGCAGCTCTTCGCCCATGCTGCTGCCAGGTACGGCAAGCTATCGAACTGAGGGTGCCACATGCTTTCTGTGCACCGACACGTGCGGGACTGGAACGGCCTTAAAGATTTGTCTGCGATAGCGTGATCGGAACATCAGAAGATTCCGGGATTTCACGGGACCTTGCCGGGGCCAAAAAAACCGCTGAATCTCGTGCTTGCCCTTCAGTTCCCGCCTGCCCCTTTCTCAGCAATATCGCAATATCACTCGGCGTTGCTGCCGCTTTGCGCTGAGAACTCCTCGCGCATGTCTGCCCTCGACCCCTTCTTCATGTCTGCAGCTCTTCGCCCATGCTGCTGCCAGGTACGGCAAGCTATCGAGCTGAGGGTGCCTCTTTCCGAGACTGCCACCGTGGCTCCCCCGCCAACGTTTTCAGCCTACTCTGCACCGACACGTGCGGGACTAGAACCAGGGACCTGTCCGATTCAGCAAACAAGCGTCTGATTCAGACACCCATGAAGTAGAAAACAAGAAAAGAGACTCAGCAAATAGGCCCAGACGATTCAGAAAACAAGCAGAATTGAGCAGAGAAGCATGCTTTTAGGGTTTAGGGTTTAGGGTTTAGGGTTGGGGACAGGTCAGGTTGTTCGTCTGAATTGTCTTTTCCTGTTTTCTGAATTGTCTGCTTGTGTTTTCTGAATTCCCGTCTTGTTTTCTGAGCCATGTGCGCGCGATTCGCTTGGTACCCATTCTCACTGGAACGATCTTAAAGATTTGTCTGCGGCAGCATGATCGGAACATCAGAAGATTCCGGGATTTCACCGGACCTTGCCGGGGTCGAGAGAGAGCCGCTGAATCTCGTGCTTGCCCTTCAGTTCCCGCCTACCCCTCTCTTAGCAATATCACTCGGCGTTGCTGCCGCTTTGCGCTGAGAACTCCTCGCGCATGTCTGCCCACGACCTCTTCTTCATGTCTGCAGCTCTTCGCCCATGCTGCTGCCAGGTACGGCAAGCTATCGAACTGAGGGTGCCAATTGCCTTCTGTGCACCGACACGTGCGGGACTGGAACGATCTTAAAGATTTGTCTGCGATAGCGTGATCGGAACATCAGAAGATTCCGGGATTTCACGGGACCTTGCCGGGGTCAAAAAAAAACCGCTGAATCTCGTGCTTGCCCTTCAGTTCCCGCTTGCCCCTTTCTCAGCAATATCGCAATATCACTCGGCGTTGCTGCCGCTTTGCGCTGAGAACTCCTCGCGCATATTTGCCCACGACCCCTTCTTCATGTCTGCAGCTCTTCGCCCATGCTGCTGCCAAGTACTGCAAGCTATCGAGCTGAGGGTGCCTCTTTCCGAGACTGCCAGGCATGGGTTTTTGACAAGTCTGAAACTGGTACCCTCACGTGTGCAGCGGCTGTGACATCCACACTGTCCGTGGCCAGACTTTGAGGTCTGAGCGCAGGCGTGGGACATGAGCTTTGTAAGCAGGTGACCATCAAGGCAACGGGGGTAACGCCAGCGCAGAGGATAGGCTGTGGCCGCGCTCGTCGATGCTGCCGCTTGTGCTGAGAACTGCGTGTGCTTGTCCACCCAAGTCGGCTTCCTCATGTTTGCAACTGTTCTCCCAGGGTTCCAGCCAACAAGATGCCGCGATGCCCGTTGTTTTGCGCATACAGGGCCGAGCCTTCTCTCCCTTCCCTGCGGCGCATGCATGGTTCACTTGTGTGCAGTCAAGCTTTCCTTCAGGACAGCGCAGCCCTTACCTCACAAGTCCACGACCATGTTCTGCTTTGACTCAAATTCCAAAGGCCTCAGTGCAGAGTTGCCGTTCCTTGCGCAGCTCGTGCCTCGCACTCTGAACTCTACAGCTGAGCAGCTGTCGCAGCTGAAAGGGTTCCCTTGCCACTGTGTTCCCCTGTGCCTGTGGGATCGTGATGCCGAGCCAAGTGTTTTGCAGGAAAGTGGCGAACGATTTGCCCAAACGTGCCCTGTGCGTCTTGCGATTACCTCGTTCAGCTCGTGCCGCAACCGGTATGCCTCCTGACGGCCCTACCGCCTGGCTTGAGCTGCGCAAGGAACGGCAACAACTGCTGCGCGTTGAGAATATGTAGGCCCTGTAGGTGGATAGTGGCACCATGTGGCACCTCAAAGCAAAAGGTGGCAGTGGCCCACCCTCCCAGCCGGCAACTCCTGACCTGTGACAAGGGCAGCGCTGCCCTTTTGCAGGTTCCTGCTTCTTCAGTTCGAGCATGCCACTGCTAGAAGATGCACAGAGAAGGATTGGAGGGAATGGTGCCTTTATCTGCTTTTCGGGAGCAAATCGAACGACCACTAATTCAGTAACGTTCGTTGCCGCGGCCAGTCGCATGTCCCCCGCGGCCAGCGCCAGCTGTTTCCTGGCATCCATGGAGGAAGCTTTACGATTCACTGGCTTCGTTGCTTTCATAAAGGGTATTCTTGCGTTCATGCCTCGAGCAAACGTCTCGCGATGATTTTGAGCGGGCAGTCGCTCGGTGTGAATGTGGCCCGTGCAGTCGCAGGACACTTGGAGCGCATGAGTGTCGATGTGGTCGCCATCGTGGCCTTGGACCCACGCTCCACTCCGAGAAGTCTCTTGCAGCAATTGCAAGATTTCCACCCGGCTGTGACAAACAGTTCGGACAGCAGACGTCTTTTGGCCCGGCAATTGACATGCATTTCGCCTTTCGTGCCCTGTTGACGCTGCCTCAGCGGAAGATGCGTGCGAACTGGGAGATGTTCAGTGATGCCACCGAAGCCATTCAGTCTCTGAAGTTTCTGTCCGACACCAACCATTTTGCCTTGGCGGATTCACATCTCTGGGACATAGCAATGATTGTACAAGCGGAGTGAAAGACTACTCAGGTTGGGACGGAACCCAAACGACCAAACCAGAAATCCAGCGAAAAAACCATTGAAAAAGGGTGCGATGATGTGCGATGTCAACAGGCAATTGAGGCAATTGGTCTTCAGTTTGAGCTCTGGAGGCGGGCTTTGGAGGATCTCGTCATGCTGGCGGACATAAGGTGTGAACAGGCTGCTAACCGTCTAACCCAAGAGGGACGCACCGCCGTCATCTCAAGAAGTGTTTGGAGCACTTAATTCTAAGGACATAGATGTACCAACGAATTGTTGCTTTAAATTGGCCCAAGAGGAAGTGGTCATGCATGGTTTAGAGTTTAGGGTTGTTTCTATTTGTGTCAATGTAGCTTTCAATCCTAAACATGTAGATTATCATCGATTATCATGCTAACACCTGGTCGGTTTGGGGTTCAGAAGTTTGACAGTTTGATGACGTAGAAGAAAGTAGTACGAGGAAGAACCAGAAGGAAGAAGTAGTACAAGGCGGAGTATAGTGGTCCCCAGCATGATGGCCCTTTTCCGCGATCCCAGCGTCAGCCGCGTCCGCCTGGAGGGAGAGCAGTCCCCGTTCCCTGGCAGAGTATTTTGCCTTCATCTGATCGGTTTTTGTGGAGCTCAAGGTTCAGGGTTCAGGGTGTCCAAATTCCCATAAGATGAGGCATGCAGCCATGCGAAGGATCTTTTTCTCCCGAAGCAACCTTTGGCACTGTTGTTTCTGGAGGACACTGACGGTATACATGCATCTCGCCATGGGGAACCCGTGTTTTTTTTTGCTGTGCAGTCGCTCGCTGGTTTGATGTAAAACCCCACCCGTGTTTTTTGCTCTGCAGTCGGTCTCCATGTTTGTGTAGCCGAGAGGGGGGAAGTGAGTGAGTGAGTCCCGCGGGCCCGCGACTGCACAGCAACACAAAAAAGCGCCCTACGGGGCCAAGACGTGTGTGTGTGTGTGTGTGTGTGTGTTTTTTTTTTCTGCTGTGCAGTCGCTCGCTGGCTATGTAAAACCCACCCAGAGCAGAAGTGAGTGAGTGAGTCCCGCGGGCCTGCGACTGCACAGCAAATAAAACGACGCGCCCTACGCGGCCAAGATGTAGACTTCCAGAATTCAGGATCTCGGGTGGAATTTAAGGAAATGCGGTGGTCCCATCCTCGTTTTCAGGCCAGCGGCAGCTAGGTAAGATTTCAGGGAGGTTTGGGGTTAACTCAGTAGATTGAAAATGTGAATTTATAGCCAGGGCAACCAGCCACTGTCAGCTTACCGGGTGTTCAGAGTCTAGCTGATAGGCTTGGGTGGGGTATCTTGAGACAAAGTGCTGAGATTTGAGCGAAACCAAAAAAACGATAAAGGCAATGAGAAGGTGGCTTAACCTTGCCCAATGAAACAATGGGGCGAGCGAACACACAGTCATAATCCACTGAGCTCTTTCCTTTTTGCCACACTTGCCTCGTTGCTCGGCTCAACCGGTGAGTTGGCCAGCTGCAGGCTGCAGCCAAGCAAAGGCGTTGGTGCACGAATGAAATTTAAAACCCCAAACGTCGAGACTGGGAAATAACACTACAGTCAGCTACATCCAACCGCCCACTGGCTCCAACACAGTCTTTTGACTTAGGAGCATAGGTACGTTGCATAGTTGGGGGTTGAGAATACACTGAATACACGCGGTGGACTCCAATGACAGCTGGCTGGGTCAGCTGAGTTTGGCCCCTACAGACTATGACATGTCATAGCTGCCCCCCCCTGACTCATGGCCACACATACTGAAGATATGTAGCCTATCGCTGTACCAAAACAGATGAGGCTTCCACTACTTGGCAGAAGCTGCGGCATCCTTTGAGGACGCGGGGAAGAAGTTCTGGATTGCACCAGAGCGCTGGACATCAAGCTTGAAGCGAATCAAATGTTCGATCAGATCCTCCTTCTTCATGGTCTTCGCCTTCTTGGATACATCATCTGGCAACGCCGCAACCTTCCCGAGCATGTCTCGTAGGCCACCTGGCCCCACAACCTTGTATTCTTGAGCTCGGCACGCATCTCATCTGCACTGGTGGCCTTGGCCACACTTCAGGAAACCCTCCCTACTTCAGGAAACCCTCCCACCCTCCCACTAAAGCCTAGAGCTAAACGTTTAGCTTACATCCCTGAAGCATGCCCAAGCCTGAGCACTGACACGGCACAAGATCTGATCCCAAGTCCAGATTGCAACACGTACAACTGGCACACAAACGAAAGGTTGACAACACCCAAGCAGAGGCGCATCAGGCTTATGCTCATGCTCCGGACCAGTCGTTGATGTTTTTTGCTTCTTTGACGCTGGCTCTCCAGACTCGGCCTGGGAATTAGGGCTTTAGGGTTCAGGGTTTTGCTTTGGAGTTTTTGGTTCTAGGGCTTTGGGTTGGGAATGTCTGGATTGGCAACACGGGGTTCCTTTTGTGATACTGGCGACTCCCTAAGCCCTAAGCCCTAAACCCTAAACCCCTAACCCCTAACCCCTAACCCCTAACCCCTAAACCCTAAACCCTAAACCCTGAACCCTGAACCCTGAACCCTAAACCCTAAACCCTAAACCCTAAACCCTAAACCGACATGCATCCTGTTGTTGTCAATCACGATATCAAATACAAAGAAGCCGAGGCACATCCATCGTAGGCGGGGAAGCTCCTCTGGGCCTCGGGTTTTGGCCTTGAGGGCGCGCCTGAGACAACTCCTGGAGCCTCTTTCTGCGTAGCTTCCAGGTCCTTGGCCTCCTGGTCCTGGGAGGGCGCACCTGAGACGACTGTTTCTGATAGCTTCCAGGTCCTTGGCATCTTCGGGGGGCGCACCTGAGACGACTGCTCCTGGAGCCTCGTTCTGCGTAGCTCCCAGGTCCTTGGCATCTTGGGCACGCGCACCTGAGACGACTGCTCCTGGAGCATCTGTCTGCGTAGCTCCGGAGGGCGCGCCTGAGACGACTGCTCCTGGAGCATCTTTCTGCATAGCTTCCAGGTCCTTGGCACCTTGGGGGGGCGCACCTGAGACGACGGCTCCTGGAGCATCTTTCTGCCTAGCTTCCAGGTCCTTGGCATCTTGGGAGGGCGCACCTGAGGCGACTGCTCCTGGAGAATCTTTCTGCGTAGCTTCCAGGTCCTTGGCATCTTGGGCAGCCGGATCACCTGAGACGACTTTTACTGGAGCATCTTCGTCCCTGGCATCTTGGGCGGGAGCACCTGAGGCGACTGCGACTGGATCATCTTTGTCCTTGGCATCTTCGGCGACGACAGGTGTGGAAGCATCTTTTGCCGGGGCTTCCGCTGAGGTTGCAGGCGTAGGCGTGGCAGACTGTTTCATTCTCTTGCCGGCGTTAGCCTTAGCTGCCTTAGCTCCCTCAGCAAGCTTTGCTTTCGAAATTTTTTTCGGCGACTCAGCCCTAGCTTCAACATGAACACTGCCGGTTTCCTCGCACGCCGCCTCCTGTTCATCCTCAGTCACAACTGGGCTGGGGAGCGATGATAGTCCTTCTACATCATCAGCTTCGTCTTCCTCAGTTTGATAAGCCAAACGTTCGGCTTCCTCCTCATCCCAATCTTTCCACACACTGGCATTGGCATCGTTGCAAAAGTTGATCAAGAACTCGTTTGTCCAAGTCCTTACTCGGAATCGGAAGTCCTACACACAAGGCCGCACACAAGAAATGCCACATGTGAAATGTTACTCCCCCCCTCAACCCCCTAACTTCAACCCTCCTCCCCCAAACCCGCCCCAACCCCCCAAACCTCAACCCAACTCCTTTGTTTTTTTCACGTCACGAAAACACAGGGTTTACGGTTTAGGAATAAACCCTAAAGCATAAAATCTAAGTTTAACACCCTTATCCGATGGACTTTAGAACCCCTCATAATAAGAAAACCCTAAAAATATAGGCAATTCCTATACAAAATATACCAGGTCAGGCGTTATCATGCAGGGAGGGTGCGTGGTCATCAGCCTTCCCCCGACACTGTCGAAGCCCCTGCTATCTTGACGTCGATTCCTTCAAACTTCCCATTAAAAGTCCATGGTTGGTTTGTACCTGGCCTGACCTGGTCCTGCGTGTAATGCCCCTCTTGAACCATCCTATGTCACTGCTGGACATGTTTTGAGTCTGTTGAGCTTGTCGTGCCAAGGAAGCAGCCAAGGCGCGCTCTGCCGCAAGGCCTGAATCGTCTGGCTTCACCCACAAAACTGCCAATGCCTGTTTCACGGGCTGCTCACCCTTAGCGTGCAGCTCCGACTGAAGTAGCTTGTAAGATGGTGTGATGTTTTCCTTTCAATATATCTGATTCCCTCCTCGTATTGTTGGCCATTGGTGTGCTCGGGTCGCCTTCTTTGCGCACGAACTTCAAACAAAGGCGGCTCCGAGCGGTCCCTAGCCGCAGAAGGAAGGGTGGCATCAAGCTTGGGTGATTTACATAGTTGGGCTGCCAAGATTCAGAGTTCAAGCCCTTCTACTCCCAGATCCAACCCTTCCGTTGCTGGAGCCCTGGCGGACAAAGAGATCTGCCTGAGCGACAACCGCCATTGGGATCCCACAGCCTTGGCCAGAAAAAAGAGAGGGCTTTAGGGTTTGGCCGGCG